TTGCAGCACCGGACTGCTCGAAATCTTCACTTTCAGGCGGATTGTTAACGAATGCGCTTTCAAGAGTTTCAACAGGTCCCATTTTTATGTGACTGAATGCTGTAGTTTCTCCATCTAATACAAGTGTTTCCCACTCTTCAGGAATAGCTGGAGACGCTTCAGGAACAACTGGAGGCGTCTCGCACTGCTCCGGCAATGTCGCCAAAGGAGTCGGCGGACATGGTTCGTCATCACTGCTTTCTATCTTGATGATTACTCCTTCTAATAACTTGAGGAACAGAAAGAACTTAAACATGAAGATTGTCATTCTGACAAGATGACTCACGGAACGGTGAGCGCGCCACTAAGAATCAACAACTCAATGCGCTGATGAGCACAAATAGCTATGGAACGGACAAAAATTACAATCGACAACTCATGAATGATTGCTCATGTTTCTCTGATGAGAACGAAACGCTGTGTGTCAGAGACCTAGCTCGACCAGCAGACCGAGTTCGAACCTCTGGATGCAACAGTGAAACACATCTGATGATTCTACATCGATTAGATGTGCTCATCATCTCCGTAGCTGTCCTGCATCTCGAGTTAAATACATAAAAGCGACTACGCGCGTCAAAATGACTCCTTTACAGACGAAGACTCTCACAACTCATTCACTCACTAAAATCAATATGCTTGATTTCGAAAAATCTTAAACACAAAGATGAACAAATTTATTAGTAATCACAACTCTTTCTCGAGAAACGGAACGCTGTCTGAAACACGACTCCTTCACACACGAAGACTCTCACACAACACCCCCCAAATGTTGTCTTGACTGAAACGATTCGGTTTTACATTAATAAGCTCGGTTTTCGGAAATCTACATCATCAAAATAAGCAAATTAATTACTAATTATAAATATTTCTCTCACGACGAACGAAACGCTGTCTGAAACACGACTCCTTTACAAACGAAGACTCTCACACAACATCTCATCATACGTCTTCTTTACTGAAACCTTTCGGTTTTACATTAATATGCTCGGTTTTCGGAAATCTGACACACCTTAAAATAAGCAAATTAATTAGTAATCACGACGTTGTCTCTCACGAGAAACAAAACACTGTCTAAAACACGACTCCTTCACGCGTGAAAACTCTCATACAACACCTCCCGGAACGTGTTCTTTACTGAAACCCTTCGATTTTACATTAATATGCTCGGTTTTCGGAAATCTGGCACATCAGAATAAGCAAATTCATTAGTAATTACGACGTTGTCTCTCACGAGGAACGAAACACTGTCTGAAAGACGACTCCTTAACAGACGAAGGCTCTCACACAACACCTCCCCGAATGTGTTCTTTACTGAAAACCTTCGGTTTTACATTAATATCCTCGGTTTACGGGAATCTGACACATCAAAATAAACAAATGAATTAGTACTCACAACTCTCTCTCTCACGAGAAACGGAACGCTCTCTCAGACACGACTCCTTTACACACGAGGACTCTCATACAACACCCCCCCAAATGTAGGCTTGACTGAAACCTTTCGGTTTTACATTAATAAATTCGGTTTTCGGAAATCTACACTATTAAAATAAGCAAATTAATTACTAATTATAAAATATTTCTCTCACGAGGAACCAAACGCTGTCTGAAACACGACTCCTTTACAGACGAAGACTCTCACACAACATCTCATCATACGTCTTCTTTACTGGAACCTTTCGGTTTTACATTAATATGCTCGGTTTCGGAAATCTGACACACATCAAAATAAGCAAATTAATTAGTAATCACGACGTTGTCTCTCACGAGAAACGAAATACTGTCTAAAACACGACTCCTTCACACCTGAAAACTCTCACACAACACCTCCCGGAACGTGTTCTTTACTGAAACCCTTCGATTTTACATTAATATGCTCGGTTTTCGGAAATCTGGCACATCAAAATAAGCAAATTCATTAGTAATTATAACGTTGTCTCTCACGAGAAACGAAACACTGTCTAAAAGACGACTCCGTTACAAACGAAGACTCTCACACAACACCTCCCCGAATGTGTTCTTTACTGAAACCCTCCGGTTTTACATTAATATGCTCGGTTTACGGGAATTTGACACATCAAAGAAAGCAAATTAATTAGCAATCACAACTTTTTCTCCCACGAGAAACGAAACGCTCTCTGCAACACGACTCCTTTACATACAAAGACTCTTAAACGACATCATTCCAAACGTGTTCGGAAAAATCTGTATCGAAATCACTCAGCGGGAATCGCACAAGCAGGAGGATAAAGTAACACGGGAAAAGGGATAGGAGACTGAAGATCGTAAAGAGAACAGCTGTGGAGGAAGAGAGAAAGAAAATAAAAAGAAATAACAAGACGTTCAATGAACATAATGATAACATACAACTTTAAATATACATATATATACAGAAATTTCGTATGTTAAAGACTCTGGACGCCTCCAAATTTCGTAAGAAATCGAGACTCTGGGCTGGAAGTCA